AGAGAGGGTCGTCGGAGAAATCTTTCTTGTTTTGAGCAAAGCAAGTGGCACGCCATTTCATCTGCCACGTGTCAAGGAGATTTTTTGGGATAACATAAAGTGAAATTACATTTTTAAGCAAGTTTCAGTGCTTTTAAAATCGGATCGGACAGGTTGGTTTGATTGGTTCAACTTCAACCATCACGTTAGAACGAGCTGAGTGGATACTAGGCTAGTTTGAAAGATCGGACCGTCCAGATCCAGAGAAACGACTTGACCCGTCCAACTCGCCGGGCGAATTGCTCCGTTCATTTGCTGCCTCCAAGGTTCGATCGCATGATTTCCAACTCTTCAAATAGCTTTTCAATAAGCTTCGCCACCAGTGCCTCACCTTGGGAATTGATATCTCTTGGTTAAAGTTTTATTCCTTTTATTTTAATGGAAAATAATTGAGAATATTTGTTTCCTCAAAAATCCTCTAGTGGCCTCGCACGTGTGAAATCTGATGCGGGCGTGCCACTTACTTTGCTGAAAGTAAGAAAGGAGGACTTTCCCAACGACCCTCTCCTTCCTCACGGTCGACCTCTTTGCAGATGGCGGGAAGAACGTTGGATTAAAATGTAATTTGCACCTTCAAACGATTTGCAAGAGGGAGGGATACCTTCCTGCAGAATGGGTTACGAAATCTGCCTTGGACAACTCTAAGGACTTAAACACTACCGTGACTTACAATTAACAAATCTTAATTATTCTAAATTACTTGCAATTTAAAACAAACTTACGAGAAAGAAGTGTTCCCAAATTAAATTAAACATGCTTATGGTAAAATTAAAAGTGCAATCAATTGACAGATTCGGAAATTAAATTGCTGCAGATCTGGAAACTTAAACCTAATTAGCACTGAAATTAAATGTGAACAATGAATAAATAACGTGAACAGTGAATAAATTGAAGAAACTTGAAATTGGAAAGAAGCATGAAGGCCACATAAGTAATCATTGAAGCAATGCTACTTAACATAAACATTAAATTAATTACAAATGAAAAGAAAACAATACCTTGCATAAACTTGAAGGATTGAAGTTCATTGCATGAAGGAAAATTGTTTTAACTGAATATAGGAATAAATTTGTCTACTGGAATGAGGAAAAACAACCTAATTCTAATGGAATCTGTGCTGAAATACGAAATCTATGCTGAAAATCGAAATCTAGAAGCATGTGCAGAGAAAATCAAAGTATGAAAAGTTGCAATTGTTTGAGTAGGGCTAGCCGTGTGTTCCTCTTGTGCCGAAGTTTCCTTTTTGTTCCTCCTGTGCCAGCAGTTACTCAATCATAGGTAGTTTGTTGGAGTAGTGGGACACCTCACCTTTTGACCTAGTCTAATCCCCTTTCAGATTTCGCCACCTGTTCTTTATCAGATAATATCCCCTTTTAAACTGTGATCCTCCCCTATTTTCCAGCTGCCATTATCTCTTTCTGTTTTAAGAAGATAATTACTCCATAAAACATTATCTTTACCTCTCCTATCTTGCCAACACATGTGCTGATCTGTCATGGGGCCCAAAATCCGAATCTGACATGGCTCAAACTCCTCCAGCCAATAAAAATTTTACACGTGGCATTAATTTAAAATTTTGCAATTTATGGTGTAAACAATATTATTTAAGATTTTCCTCAATTTAATCAAAGTTTTCTTGTAAGATTTTCCGTGGAATCTGCCAAGGAGAGCTCCCAAACTTCAAGTCAAAAGGAAATTTGTTGCTCCTGCAGATTCCACGGAAGAGGATACCCCCTCCAAGCAGCAAAGAACCGGAGGTAAATCCGCTCTGGCTTGCAACTTTGTGACATGTTTTCTGCTAACACCCACTTTTTTTTTTTTTTAGGGATCAAGAGGTCAGCAGTAAAACCATCTGCAGCTAAGAAACTTATCAAATCTGCCTCTCCCTCGAGGTCCTCTTCTGCCACGGAAATCGAGACGCAACCTGACAAAACAGAAGATGTTTCCCTCGGTCCTGCTGCCACAAAAGCTCCTGTTGAAGACATATCTGCTGAGGGTGATGGAAGCAATTCTGCTCCTCTCGCACCAAATCTGCCGATGGTTCTTCACCCGCCACAAAGGTTAGAGGTTCTAGATTCTCTTCACGCATAGCAAGTAAAAGCTTTAGAACAGTTAGACCGAATGAACTCATCGATCTAAGCTTAGACAAAGAGAATACCCCTACACCTGTAGCTTCTCCTGCTAGGCATGTTCATGTTGATGACATTGAGGTTGTTTTACTGTTCTGAAATCTGCTTAGATCTTGAAATCTGTCACCATATCTGCCAGTTGCCATTTTTGATCTTTTGTCTTTGCATCTTATAGAGTGTTGCTGCTGATGTGCCCATGATTGATGATGATTTGGAGAATGAACTCCTTGCTCAGCTGGACATGTTGATGGATACTCCGACTAAATCTAGATCTGCCACAGATAGTAAAGGGAAGGCAATTGCTGAAAAAGTGGATTTTGATATCAACCTTCCTACTCAGGAGCAGATTAGTTTTGCGATTATGACCATGCAAGAGCTCCTTAGTGGTGATCCTTCCCATTTTTGCAAAGTGCCGGACTAACCAGCCGCCTTTGAAGCGGCTCAAATCCTTAGCCGAGCCCCACAATTATCATCAGCTCAACAAAAATTCTGGGCAGACTTCACCTCCATCTATACCCATTTCAGCAGAAAATTCCGGGTGTTTGAGAGCAAAGTGGCAGCTGCAGATTCTGTCAGGAAGTTTGTAGCGGATAGCACTGCCGCTGTCTTGAAGAAGAAAGAAGAATTCTTGGCAGCAAAGGAGGCTCATGTCACACAAATTACACATGTCCAAGGGCTCAAAGAAAAAATCTCTAACCTTGAAGCCAAGCTTTCGGAGTTGAGAAACCAAGTTCCTCTTGCGGAGCAATCTGAAAAGAGTTTGGCAGAACAAAGAAACAAGCTCCGCGTAGACATGGAAGTTGGTTTGAAATCTGCTGCCAAGATTAAGGAGCAGCTACCTTCTTTCACAGCCTCTGCAGATGAAGCCACCAAAGAAATAAAGAACATGAGAGAAGAATGGAGTTCATGGCAAAACAACCTTTGTTGATTTTCTCTTATGTATCTCTTTGTCTCTTTGTTGGTTGAAATTGCACATTGTCATGTTTGAACATATTGTTTGCGGCCTATTGGCCATGCAAACTTCTTTTCAATGTTGATCTCTTTCTTGGCTCATATTCTGGAAATCTGCTTCTTGTACTTTTTGTTCATACTCTAGTACAGGTTGAAATCTGTCATGGCCGAAATCTGGCTGGCCGAAATCTGGCTGCTTTGGTTGTTCATAGCCAGATCTGGCCTACTTACAAATTCGGCTCAACACTTTTATTGAATGATAAAATGCTTAAAAACAATGAATTAAAATACTATACAAATCCTTCCTCCAATCTGTCTCAGGTAGGATCAATGGTATCCAAACCTCTAGCCTCCCATATCATAGGATAGTAAGGCTTAAGGTAGATTCCATTTATTTTTCGAGGATGTAGCTCTTCATTTAATGATTCAAGCCAATATGCTCCTCCTCTAAGCACTTCATGTATACGAAATGGTCCTTCCCAATTTGGAGACCATTTCCCAAATCTGGGATCTTTCTTTCCAGGTGGCAGAATTACTTTCCACACCAGATCCCCTTCTGCCAGACTTCTGGATTTCACCCGTTTGTTGTATGCTCAAGCTACTTTTAATTTTTGCGTTTGCAGCCTATCTAAGGCCGTCAATCGCATACCTTCAAGGTCTTCTAACTCTAGAATCATTGCTTCATTATATTCTCCAGATGTGAGACCATGTTGAATTGCTATACGCAATGATCTGGCAGACAACTCCATGGGCAGAACAGCATCATGTCCATAAGTTAAAGAGAATGGAGTTACCTTGGTAGAACTCCTTTGTGAGGTTCTGTAAGCCCAGATTGTGTCAGATAACAGCTCATGCCAACACCTTGGATTATCATCAACCATTTTTTCCAGCAAATTTATCACAATTCTGTTGGAAGCTTCAGCTTGAGCATAATGAGGGGTTGAAGTGAGTAACCTAAATCCCATTTCTTTTGCAAATGCCTCCACTTGTGCACCAACAAAAACTGTCCCCTGATCTGAAGTCACCGTTTCTGGCAAACCGAATCTGTAAATGATTTCTTCCTTAAGAAATTTAATAATATCGGTCTGATCAACCTTCTTCATTGGCTTTGCTTCCACCCACTTGGTAAAGTAATCTGTGGCAACAATAATAAAAGAATGCCCTCTAGTTGAAGGAGGATAAACTTTACCGATCAAATCTATGGCCCATCCTCGAAATGGCCATGGTTTGACAATTGGATGGAGTTCTGACGCTGGAACTCTCTGCAATGGTCCATGAATCTAGCAGGCTTTACAACCTTTAGCATAGCTGATGCAATCTTTCAAAATTGATGGCCAAAAGAATCCATGTCTACGAATTAGCCATCTCATCTTAATTTCAGCTTGGTGTGCACCACAGATTCCGTTATGCACATCTGACATAACCTGGCAGTACTCATCTGGACCAAGACAGCGCAAGAGTAATTCATCATGTCCTCTTCTATAAAGAACACCTTCCAACAGAACATAATTCAAGGCCTGCATTTTTGTTCTTCTTGAGGCCTTAAAATTTGGATTTTTGAGGTATTCCATGATCGGATAGCGCCAATCTGTCTGGGTTATGTCTATGGAACAAGCAGAAATTGCCATACCACGCATGTGAATAGATGGCAGAATTCGTTTTTCCACAACAACAATTCTACTCATCACGCCTTCTGGGATTTTTAAGCCCGAGGCGATTTGTGCCATCTCATTTGCCTCTGTGTTCAGATCTCGAGTAACATGCCTCAAGATTACATCATCAAACTCCTCCAAGAGCTGTACTGCCAGAGCAAAATAAGGTGCCAAAGACAAACTAGTGCATTTGTACTCACCTTCTAATTGCTTTAAAATTAATTGTGAGTCACCAATTATTTCTACCATAGGTACCTTGAGCTCTACCAACACTTCCAGCCCAATAATTAGCGCCTCATATTCAGCTTGGTTGTTGGTGCAATTGAAATCTAGCTGAAATGACATCTGGGTTTTCAAGCCAGCTGGAGAAATAATAATAATTCCTGCTCCAAACATGGAATCTGTGCTAGATCCATCAAAAATAAGCTTCCAAGGAACAAGGCTTATGGAAAATAAATTAATACCTTTTTCCTCATCCGCTTCTACCTCCAGGCACGGATGATCTGCTAGGAAGTCTGCCAAGGCCTACCCCTTGACAGCTTTTTCAAGCATGTACTTCAGGTTGAATTCTGACAAAGCCAGAACCCATTTTCCAATTCTGCCTCTCAACAGTGGTCGAGACAACATGTACTTTATCACATCAATTTTCGAAATAACATAAACCTCGGAATAAAGCAAATAATGCCTCAATTTTATTGCAGCAAAAAACAAAGCAAGACATAATTTTTCGACCGAAGAATATTTCACTTCGGTCTGTGACAGACTTCGACTTAAATAATAAACAGCTTGTTCGTGCTTTTTACTATTTTCTTGAGCCAGCAGACAACCTATAGATTCATCTGCGGCAGATATGTACAAAATCAAAGGTTTGCCTCTTAAAGGAGGCACTAAGATCGGCGGCTTTGATAAATAATGCTTTATTTCCTCAAAGGCGGTCTGATGGTGTTTCTCCCATTTGAAATCTACTTTTGATTTCAGCTTCAGCAGTGGCGAAAAAACTCTGGTTTTTCCTGCCAGATTTGAGATAAAACGCCTCAGAAAATTTACTTGCCCAAGGAATCTTTGTAATTCCTTCTTACTTCTTGGCGGCTGTGCTTCAATAACAGACCTTGCCTTGTTCTGATCCACTTCCAGACCTCGCTCATGCACCAGATATCCCAGAAAATTTCCAGCAGAAACGCCAAAAGGGGATCTTGTACTTCTGCCTTCAGATCATCAAGTTTTGCTAGTGCTAGATCTAATTCCTCTAGTGTTATCTGATCCTTCAAATCTTCCTATTCACCTTCATAGACTACTTCAGATCTGTCTACACAGATCCATTTTTCAGCAAGGTAAGCCGCTAATTTTCTCTTGATTTCTTCCACGGCCCCCTTTTTCTGGTGCTTAATTCGATCTTGCTTCATGGAACTTCTTCGATTTCAGGTTCCTCCCTCGACCTAAAAGGAACGATTGCTATAGGCCGAAATAGTTCATAACACACATCCTTCACAGTTTGACTGTCCATTGCAGATCTGGTGCAAGCAGTAATTCCAGAAGGTCTGCCATAGCGGTCCATCCCAAAGAAACAGATAGTCCCAATATCTTCATCATAATAACGAGCTTCCCCTGCATTGGTACTTGCCACGAACGGCCTGTCATCTGCTGTCACGACTTCAGTTCTGCCACCATTCCAGAATATTAATTTCTGATGCAGAGTTGAAGGAACGCACCAGCTGGAATGTATCCAATCTCTCCCAAGCAATGCATTATAAGTGGCAATGGTGTCAACCACAAAGAATGCACACATAAGAGTTCTATTCCCAACAGTCAGCTCCACCCGCAGAATTCCCCTTGAGCGATTTACTCCACCAGTAAAGTCACTGATTGTCACTTCTGTCTCCATTAAATCACCCAAAGATTTGCCAATCTTGTGCAGAATACAAGTTGGCAAAACATTGACAGCTGCTCCACTATCAACCAGAACTCGATTTATTGGCATACCATCCAGATGTGCTTGAATGTATAATGGCCTGATGTGCTTGGCCATTCTCTCTTCTGGTTTTTCGAAAATGATTTTATCTGCTGAATCCATGCCACCCTCTTCCTTAGCTGGGATCTCAATGACTTCTTCTTCCTCAGTCAAATCTGTCTGGTGACAGACTGCAGATTCTGGCTGCTCTCTTGCTTGAAAGACCAAAGGAAGAGTGATCACCAAGCAAGATAAATTCACGAAAAATTCACCAAAACAGATTACACCTGATGAATTTTTTGCTTTATCTGACACGTCAAACTTCGCCTTCAAACCAGTTTCTTCATTGGATTCCACAGCCAGAACTCGAGGTGATGTTGGAATTCTGGGTGGTTCTTCCTTTTCTGGAGAATTCTGACAAGATGAACTCCCTTTTTCTTTATGGACCCACACTGATTTTCTTCTTGCTGGGAGCAGCTGTGCCTGATCTGCCATGCCCCCCGAGTCTGTAATCTGCTGTTGGTGTCTTTCTGCAGCCCTTTTGTGTTGTAAACGCCTCCTCAAGGTCCTTGGGTTTTGACCCTTAGGAAATTTTGGATGCACCACACGTTCCCACCATTTGGTTGGAGATCTGGGTGGTGGTTTCACCATTCTGGACTTTTTTGCGCGTCGAGATATCGCAGTTCCCTGATTTGCATTATTTTTCTGTTGAGTTGAGTTGTACCCCCTGGGTTGTCTCCTTCGGTATGAACCTGATCTGAACTGATTTCTACGGGTCCTGGCCTCCTCAATGATCCACCTCAGATCATTAGCTGCAAGTTTGCGCCTATAGTATGTCTGAGTTCTGTCCCTGGCAATGCTCCTGAGATCTGCCGCGTTCACCCCAACAGACATGGTAGGGAATGGATCTGCATCAACTCCCATAGTTTCTTTGGCCTTGTCTGGAAAACGCAGAATTCCCTTGTCGATTTTATTCTGTAAAACATTCCGAAAAATCACACAATCATTAGTGGAATGTTTCCAAGAATTGTGATATTTGCAATATTCTCTATTGCCAATTTCGCCAGCCATTGGGATTTTATGTTCCGGCGGCAACTTAATTAAACCACTCTTTTTAAGGTGGTCAAAAATTTCATTAGTTTTTGAAATGTCAAAGGTGTATTGTTTTCCAGCCTCTCCGACATAACGTTTTACTATTCTGTCGGTCTGCTGGGCCACTTTAACCAAATCTGGGCAAACAACTGGCTTGTCTGCCACCACTTCTGCTACATCCAGATCAAAGTTGGCATCACCATAATACGTCCCATGAGATGCAGATTTCCTTTGTGTGTCCTCTCGCAATAAATTCTCATAACGAGCCACCTTGTAAGACAACTCAAAGAAATCACAAAACTCCATTCCCTCAAACTTTTTCCTCAATTCAATGTCCAGACCATTTTGCGCCAGCTTGACAAATTCCTATTCTGGCAGGGCAACTCTACACTTAGGTCTGGCCTTCTGAAATCTGGCCAGAAAGGCCTCAGAAGTTTCTCCAGGTCGCTGCACCAGACGAGATAAATCTGCCATGGACACTTCTGGCTCACTGCGGTAGAACTGGATGTGAAAAAGATCTTCCATCTGCCTCCAAGCATAAACAGAATTCTGTGGTAGACTTAGATACTAGGTGAGAGCTGTACTAGTTAAAGAACTAGGAAAAAGCCTGAGCTTCAGATTATCATCACCGGAGGCCTCGCCACACTGAATTGTGAAGCGGCCTATGTGTTCAATTGTAGAATATCCACCATCTCCAGAAAATAGAGTGAATTCTGGAACCTTAAACCCCCTTGGAAAAGGATTCTCTTGGTCTATGAAATCTGGATATGGTTTTCTGTAAGCTGGTCTGACTAGAGGCCTCAAAACTAGACCATAAGCCTCTTGCACCATGTCGATGATCTGATCACGATTGATGTACTATCCTGGCAGATTTTGAAGATTTTGCTGCACGGGTGGCACATATGGCTGGAAATGCTCCCTTGGTGGAGGTGCATTATGTTGTTGATGTCCTCCATTTGGTCGGCGTGGAGGTGGCAGATATCTGGGATGCTGGTGATTACCCAGATCTGCCACACGTGGTGCAACCTCAACAGGATCTGGCTGCACTGGTCTACCTGCTGCTTGCTGAATCTGGGGAGGTGGCTGTGGCAGATTAACTTGCCCCCCGAGTGCTGGAGCTGGAATATTCTTATTCTGCCTTTGAAGATCTGCTGCTTGTGGCTGAAGTTCAATTTTGACACGTCGAAATGCCTCCTGCATTCGTTCTGTTTCAGCTTGGAAAGCTCTCCAATTTTCTGCATTTTGTTTGCGCCAGATTCTGTTGCTTTCTTCATTGGATCGCCGCATGTCGCTACACTTTGGGCTACACTTTGAGCCAGATTTTGAAAAGACTCATCCAACTGTCTAGAAACCTCTTGGCTTCTTTGTCGAGCTTTCTCCTCAGATTCCATCAGTGTGTGCCTCATGATGCTAATATGATCTGACACAGCTTTCACAAGAGAATCACCAGATTGAGCAACATCATCTCCAGATTCACTACCCTTGTTGAAGGTAGGATTGACAAATGAGTGCTCCCTAAGTATTGGTGACAATGGTGGTGGAAGGATTGGCTCATTCTCTCCTTCTTAGTGCGCTAGACTGCCTTCACCAAGCCCAATCTGTAAAGTCTGGACAGCCTTCCCAAGGTTTCTTTTTGGTGGCATAATTGCACTTTTTCTTGGAAAAAAGAACAACGGATCTAAAAACTGTAAGTAAGACACGATGAGGTCCCACCAGGCGTGCCAAAAAAGGATTGTTTCCTCAAAAATCCTCTAGTGGCCTCGCACGTGTGAAATCTGATGCGGGCATGCCACTTACTTTGCTGAAAGTAAGAAAGGAGGACTTTCCCAACGACCCTCTCCTTCCTCACGGTTGACCTCTTTGCAGATGGCAGGAAGAACGTTGGATTAAAATGTAATTTGCGTCTTCAGACGATTTGTAAGAGGGAGGGATACCTTCTTGCAGAATGGGTTACGAAATCTGCCTTGGACAACTCCAAGGACTTAAACACTACCGTGACTTACAATTAACAAATCTTAATTATTCTAAATTACTTGCAATTTAAAACAAACTTACGAGAAAGAAGTGTTCCCAAATTAAATTAAACATGCTTATGGTAAAATTAAAAGTGCAATCTATTGACAGATTCGGAAATTAAATTGCTGCAGATATGGAAACTTAAACCTAATTAGCACTGAAATTAAACATGAACAGTGAATAAATTGAAGAAACTTGAAATTGGAAAGAAGCATGAAGGCCACATAAGTAATCATTGAAGCAATGCTACTTAACATAAACATTAAATTAATTACAAATGAAAAGAAAACAATACCTTGCATAAACTTGAAGGATTGAAGTTCATTGCATGAAGGAAAATTGTTTTAACTGAATATAGGAATAAATTTGTCTACTAGAATGAGGAAAAACAACCTAATTCTAATGGAATCTGTGCTGAAATACGAAATCTATGCTGAAAATCGAAATCTAGAAGCATGTGCAGAGAAAATCAAAGTATGAAAAGTTGCAGTTGTTTGAGTAGGGCTGGCCGTGTGTTCCTCTTGTGCTGAAGTTTCCTTTTTGTTCCTCCTGTGCCAGCAGTTATTCAATCATAGGTAGTTTGTTAGAGTAGTGGGACACCTCACCTTTTGACCTAGTCTAATCCCCTTTCAGATTTCGCCACCTGTGCTTTATCAGATAATATCCCCTTTTAAACTGTGATCCTCCCCTATTTTCCAGCTGCCATTATCTCTTTCTGTTTTAAGAAGATAATTACTCCATAA